ATTATACAAACTTTCGGCCCACTGGGATTCAAACCCAGAACCTCTGAATAGGATACCTTGTCGCTCAGACACACCACGAAGGTGACGGAGATATATTAAATAAACACTCAAATGAATTATGTAAATATTTTGCCTTTCTTTACGACATTTGATCGCACTTTTCGCCGGAATACAAGAAAGAAACAACAACAACAAAACAAGAAAAACGCTTACGAGTAAAACCCCTAGCTTTTTCTGTTATAGATTTATGGACACTGAAAAAAACGAATTACAATAGGTACCTACTTAATATTGGAAAAAAAGTTAATTAAATTTTGTACAAGCCGTCCAATTTGTTCGTGTTTTTGGACGTCACTTGGACGGCGTTTTTTATTGCAGAACATAATTGTAATCGTTTTCAATCGTAACAATGCCTCTTTCTTCAGCAATCTCAAAAATAAAAGCAGGCTTTTTCGGTTTTTTTGTAAAAAGTCAATGATGCTAACCTTCGATGGCATTTGTAATAAAATAAACGTCATTTTTATTAATAAAAAGTAAAAACATTGTATTAGTGTTTTTAAAAAAAAATACTAGAAAAATAAATTTATTATTATTAAATAAAACCAGTTTTTACGGGTTAATGCACGAATCTTTATTTATTTATTGACGTTTCGTAGCCTTTACAGGCTACGTCGTCGGAATCAAACTTTTATTTAATTTGTCGAGCTACCTTCGAAAGACTTTTATTGAGCGTTCGGTTATTTCATTGTTCGATTTTTAAAGTTTTATCGTCTATGTATGAATTTATTATTTAATTTACTTAATAAAGTACTTTATTTAAAATTCTTTTTTGTAATTATGAGTGTATTTATTTGACCCTAACTACCGTAAACTACCACCGGTTCCAAAATTGGGAGACCTTTCTGAGAAGAACCGGCGAAACAAACTCAAGAGAGGCTTTCTATCTCCTTCTTATGTTAAATTATGCAAACAAAAGAAGTAATAGTATCTGTTGGTCTTGCAGTGTGTGCTCGGGGTTGGGATTTTATCTCCTGTATAATGGGTTCCCAAGCTGGTGGTATATACCAACCATCTTCCCTATTGAAATTTGGATATTGAAGTTATACTTCTTTAGGCGCGTTATGAAAAAATGATGAGAGTGAAATTTTAAGATGCGCGCGCATCACTGTAACACAAAATTTTGTCGCTAAAGCGACCAACTTCATGCTGTTACTTTTGTGTTTACCGCACATTAAGAAAATCTACCAACAAAATAGAAATAGAATCTCTATTTAGTGGGTGCTAACGACTGCATTGTGAAGGCCTATCAAAAGTATTTATTAATCTGGAACAACGGAACCAAAGCGCGATTCAGGAGACTACAGCGCCATCCCTTGACCATTGGCGTAGTAGAACCAAAAACCACATCTTTATTTTTTGAAGTTATACTTCTTTAGGCGCGTTATGAAAAAATGATGAGAGTGAAATTTTAAGATGCGCGCGCATCACTGTAACACAAAATTTTAGTAATTTTAGTAAAGTAGTATTTTGTAACACAAAACCACATCTTTATTTTTTGTAATAAAGTAACAGTTATAGGTATTCATATTTATAATATTTATCCACATGTTTCTAGTTTGTATATTCGGAATACGTGTTTGAGTTTCATACAAGTGCAAATCACATATGTTCTAATAAATTATATTCAGTAGCGATTTTAATTGAATATTTTTATTATTTATTTATTTTTTCAAATTAAAACTGAACTTTATTGACTGTGTCCTTTTCCAGACTTTTTATTAATTTATTGTAATTAATTATTTGCATGCAATTAAAAACTAATTTTAAACGATGCCAAAGAAGGATAACTTCTCACGCGCCTACATAAGTACACGCACCCATTTTTTGTAATAAAGTAACAGTTATAGGTATTCATATTTATAATATCAAAAGTATTTATTAATCTGGAACAACGGAACCAAAGCGCGATTCAGGAGACTACAGCGCCATCTCTTGACCATTGGTGTAGTAGAACCAAAAACCACATCTTTATTTTTTGTAATAAAGTAACAGTTATAGGTATTCATATTTATAATATTTATCCACATGTTTCTAGTTTGTATATTCGGAATACGTGTTTAAGTTTCATACAAGTGCAAATCACATATGTTCTAATAAATTATATTCAGTAGCGATTTTAATTGAATATTTTGATTATTTATTTATTTTTTCAAATTAAAACTGAACTTTATTGACTGTGTCCTTTTCCAGACTTTTTGACGTGACAACGTCTTAAATTAGGTTGCGGCTGGGAGTCACTTATGAAAAAGTGTAACGCTCGGTAACGTTACGATGAGTCTCTCGTGTTAAGTTTAAGTTTACATGTACAATGTTTTAGTAAACAAAATATATTTCTATAGTTAAAATTTGTGCAATTCTTATTTTCATTCAATTCCTTGTTCCTATTGTGCAATTTAATTATATTCATATCAATAAATATTCTACCGAGAAAAAGACGTTGTCACGTAAAATCTTCGCCCGTAAAACCGACTTTACAGGCAACCATTTTATTAATTTATTGTAATTAATTATTTGCATGCAATTAAAAACTATTTTTAAACGATGCCAAAGAAGGATAACTTCTCACGCGCCTACATAAGTACACGCACCCATTTTTTTTTAATCTCAATAGCCTCGCGTATCATTCTAGGAACGAATCGCTGCTCAGTTATTATCATGTACTATTATTATTAATATGTATTTCTCCATATTACTGTAGGTACTAGATCTGCCAAAATGAGAATCCGTCCTTTTGCGAATCCGGTGAAGTGGGGCCAGATGGTTTACACAATTTTCAAGGAGGGACACGCAAGTTTTTCTTCTGACCTCAATCATTTTTCTACATTTTAATTTTGACCTCACAAATAAAAGGTTTTAGCTTTCATCCGCAACTTCGTGAGCATTACTTAGCTAGCACAAGTACCCATTTTTTTCCGGGATATAATGTGAAGAAATATGATACATATTTCTTCACCTACGTGTGACAATCTACCCATCATCATCATCAGCCTATTAATATCCCCACTGCTGGGGCACAGGCCTTCCCTATGGATGGATTAGAGAGATTGGGCCATGACCCACCACGCGGGCCCACTGCGGGTTGGTGGGTGCTAACGACTGCAGATGCAGCCGGGATCAACGGCTTAAGGTGCCTTCGCAAGCACGGAGGAGCTCGAGATAATAAATTTTTGGTCACCCATCCAATGACCGACCACTGCGAAAGTTGCTCAACTTATCGACCGCAGCCGAACGCGCTAACCACCATCACCACCACCACGTGGCACCATCGAGCTCCTCGATCTACCCTCATGTGTGTCAAACTTAAATCCAAATCCGTTCAAACGTACCGTCCGTACAAAAATACAAATTTTCACATACTAGCAGGTTATGGTTGAAGTTGGAAGTGGCTGAAAATGGCAAATTTAAAGGTATTGTGATAGAAGTTGGACAATGAGAGGTCGTGATTTCTATTAGTGTGATTCCGCCCGCATATTAATTATTCGGATTCATATCTAATAGTTAACTAAGCAAAATCAGGTTTAACTAGTATGTTCAGTTGAATGGGCGTTCATTTGCGTAGATTGCTACTTTGAATAACAATTTGTTTTTTATGAGTAGAATAAGATACTTTAGGGATATCTTAAGTGTACCTATTTGTGATTATGTTTCTTGAAATATTTGCGAACCTCTAGCAGCTTTTTGTATTAAGTACTATTAGAAAATATAACATTTTAGTTTGTTAGGTTACTATAGGTATTTCTTACTACTAACATAGGGTCACAAATATATAATTTAGTATTAAAGCCCTCAAATGCCAGCCTATTTTAAATTTTATAAAAAATATAATTAATCCTTTTTCATTGCTGGCAGTTTCAAGTGTTCACAAGTTTTCAATAAAATATATTCTACCCTTGGGTATCCGTATTCTATCCACCACAATTATTTTGTTTCCCAATAATCCCCCCAGCCCCGCTGTAACCAAAATCTCTCTATGCTCTATAAAATCTTAATATTTTGTGTACAGATTACAGCAAACGAAAGTTTTATCTACTTAATTAATATTTTATAATAAATGTTTTTTTTTATTACATTATTATAAGAAATGTTATTTCATTTAATATAAAACTCTTCATTTCAGTTTCTCAATCCCATATTAACTATAAACGTCGAAATAGCTTTTATTCACATTTCCGAATCTATTTTGTTGATTTAATACAATTAGTTTTTAATACAATAACTGAAGCTTGTTTTATATAGGTACGCTTGCTTGCTTGCTTAAATAGGTACAAATTATGTTGTTAATGGGAAAGAACAACAATATTGCACTTCCACGAACGGACGCTTATGTAACTACATACTTCTAGTGGTCCTTGTAAATATGTAGCAACATTTATATTCCTGATTATATATAGCATATTGGTGTTTTTTTTTGTAAAATTAATAGCAATTATATGAGCATTTTTCTATTGAATAAGTTTGCTGACGTCGTGTCAGCAAACTTATTACATAAATGGTTACGTTTGCTCAGGATTGTTCTACTTATTATTAAAATTAGGTCAAATTAGTAAATAACTAAACTCATCTAATATACATTTTACAAAATGAACAGATTTTATATGCTAATGGTGATGCTAATGGTGCTCTGTACCTGTACTCTGTACCTACTGTGTAATTAAGATACACTGATACTTCTTCAACAGTGTGAACTTACCTAAACAAAAATAATATTTCATTGTAGTTCAGAAAGCAGAAAGAAACGTTTAATAAATTCAAACACATTTCAAAAATTATAAACCCAATAAACAAATCTTATCCCAGGCTAACCAACGTGACGCGGTAATTGATCAAGTCGTAAAGCTATCAAAAGTTCAGCATCGAACGCCTAATTCCATAACAAAGGCTAGGTGATAAATATTCATCATTTGTATTTGTTTTGAATTGAAGGTTAAACAGTAACCAACCTAACCATTTGCGCTCCGATATGTAATTCGATCTCGCATATTTGATAGCACGGTGTAGAAGTCCTCCGAGACGCAACGAATACCATTTTCGCGTTACACGATGGTTTCTCATTAACATCGTCGTACACAAATCCCAAATTGAATGCAAGACCCGGTGGTATTCGCTTACATCTTGATAAAGACAAGTTTGTATATCTAAGTTGTTCCAAGTCAGGTATGAGCTTATAGAGTTTGATGAACACCGGTTCCAAAGTAAGATTACAAAATTTTATGTGCTGTGTCGTGACTCCGCCGCGCTTGTATTCAATTCTGTAAGGATTCGGATACGAGACTAGTCGATTCTCGCATATGTAGGAGGCTGTCTTGCGTAGAGGACTCGAGAAATATTTGGAAATCTCGATGAATCGTTCCACCTGCGATCTGAATACCTCATTCCTTTCGTATTGCCGCCTAGTCTCTTCGCAGGCTTTCGTGTCCTCCCTGATCGGTTGATCTTCAAAGCAATTGCTGGTCGTTCGTTCACATTGTATCATAATTAAATTCTTTAGCATCGGTTTGCCTGTGCTGTTTGATAAAGCTCTTTGTTTGAAATTCATGTTTTATATAATTAAATAAAAGATTATTATTACCCGGAAATTTATGTGCGACAACATAGACATGTCATATTATGATCATAGAGAAAGTAATCAGTCATGGCCATGGTCATGGCTTTAGTCCAGTCAATGCACTATCAATGCACGGAAATATCGGTAATTCTGCCAAACAGCACCTATTTGTACTAATATTTGGGTTCTATTTATCTTCTACTTCAAAGTTGATTGATTTATTTTAAATTTAAAATAAATATGGGAATGGATAGATTGATTAATTCTATGTTACTTTTGTCCTATAAATTTTTTACGGAAAGCGTTATACTATTCGACTCCGGTACCCCTAGCACGAACCATTATCGAATTCGAATAGTTTGCAAACCGAAACGTCAATGTCAAATTTTGTATGGAAACTTGAACAGCAGCGGCACAAAGTTCGTAACGAGAACTAAAAATCAGTACCTACACATTTGACAATGACATTTCGGACTCGCAAACCATACGAATTCGATAATGGTTCGTGCTAGGGGTACTGTAGCTCCTATTCAAAAGACTGACGATTCGGATACGACCAAAAGTCTTGATTTTTTGAAGTGAAAACTTCTTTAGCGGCGTTGTACACTTTTTTTTGTATGGGTTAAAAATGTTTAACTCGCGTCAGGACACTGGGGCTGGTCGCGTCAAGACACGTGGCCTGATCGGGGATCTGACGAAAACAATAAAATTGGAAAAATTGTTGACTTTCAATATATAGGACGAAACATAGTAATATTTTATTTTATCGTATTATAATAATAAGTCTTTATCTAGGACGTCCAGGTGGCAGCTTTATTCGAAGAAAATGCATTTTTTTATGATAGATGTCGCTAGGTGCGCTTCAATGTGAATCATGTAAGTTGATTTTTTTAACAATAGATGTCGCTAAGTGCGCTTAAACGTGATTCATGTAAGTTGATTTTTCTGAGAGATATGTTTTTTTATGTAATTTAAATTGTCATGTTTATGTACGGTAACGCAATAAATAATTATTGTATTCTACCACATAAATGATAGTACTTTTATACTGATAATTAAAGCAATTCGTGCAAAATTATTCCCTAACCATTTCAAAATATCAAAAATGCACAACGTTAAAATTCAAGTTTTCACTTCTGCCGGCACTCCCGGAGTGCAACTCGAGGTTTTTTTAGGTGCCCTCTTTGTTGGACGCTATACATAGGGCTCAGGTATAGTGAAAGTACTTCAAACGATGCAAGGTTTGCCCATTTTATGTTATTCTGCCGCGCTTGAATAAACTCCCAAATCTAAACTTGGGATCCTCTACACTCTACTATTAGCAAGCGCTGTTTTATTATTCCTGTTTTATATACCTATACAGAATAGTCAAGTTGAAAAACGACTTCTATTATAATTCATTTACCTTATACTGTACTGTACCCTTAGTACGAGTTTCAGCTCACGAAAACTATCATAGTTTTCGTAACTGTAAATTGTTTCTATGTCCATTTTGGTGAAAAGTAACCAAATATACTTAAAATTTAAGAAGACACAAATGATTTAATGATAGAATTTAAACACTGTTTATTTGTATTGAAACGAAAACAATAAAATCAGCATCCTTAGTACGAGTGCTAGCTCACGAAAACTCCTATCATAGTTTTCGTAATTGTAAAACTCGTATTAAGGGTACTAATGTGAATATACCCATAGTTTCTTAAATAAAAAACGGAAGAGTAGTAAATGTGTAAATGTTGTACCAAAACAGTATTATAATTATAAGATATATATTAATTAACCTAAACATATGTTTAATGGAAAATCTATTACATAACATTCGGTTTCTTATGAAGCACTACTATTCTCGTCGTATTACCTAGATATTTATATTATTCCGCTGGTAATATAAAATGCAGTGCGCATTAAGCATACAACGAGCAATGCTAAAATTACACGTGCTTAGAGTGCTTGTATAGAATGGCAATTATTATTAGTTAATATTATCAAACGATAATATCGGATGCATTATTGCGATATCTGTTATAAGTACATTATATTTTAGGACGGCTTAGAAGTTACACACTGCTGCGATAATAATACCGCAATAGAAGGATGACCAAATGCGCAATAACGCGTCCGATATTATCGACCGATAAATACTTTTTATTATTGGGTACTATTACTTTTATTTATATTTATATGTAATTTTAATCGAATTATAAATAAAGAATGTTGAGCATAAATAACATTCAGTAGCATGCACTCATAGTTGCGGTATGCATATCACTCGAACTGATGTCGAATACGCAAGCGAAGAATAGCTACAGCAAAACATTATCGGCACATGCCGTCGGCTGCTGCCGTCGACGGCGGTCGTCGCCACATTGAGAGAGAGAGAGAGAGAGAGAACCATTTTATTGACCAATAAAAACACACAAACATAAAATTATAAACAGCTAAAATAGAAACATAAATAAAAAAGTAAACATCACAAACGTTGATAAATCTAACAGTTATAATATTGCTCAATCAGGACCCTGCCTCAGCATAATGCTGCCGTGACATGTAACTAAACGTGTCACGACAACGCTTGACGACAGATGTCGACGGGTCGACGACTGCAGTTGCAATGCCATCCGATGCGAGCCGCTCGTATGTAGGTACGAGTATATATGAAGCCATAGTGTTACGGCAGAAAAATGTGCCACTTGCGCCAATATCACCTGAAACCCATTACGAACATGAACATAGTTTGTTAAAGGTAATGATAAAATTATGGAAAAGTGCGTTGCAGTCAGGTACCTGGGGGAGTTATGGGTTACCTTAATTCATAAATGAACATGCACCGGGATTCGAACCCGGGACCTTTGAAGAAAATTCAAATCGTTGCTTATGCACCAACTTTGATTAAAAAAACGATAAAGTCATTGATTTTTAAATCGTAAAAGCACCCCCTTTTTAAGTATGCCATCTAGATCATCATCATAATTTTATCATCATTCTATTGTTTACTATTAAGAGCTAATTGAACGGGGCATTAAAGTCGTAAAAAGTTTTTTTTTCGGAACAAGAACAACAATACCGAAATGAAGATAACACGTATAAAAAATAGTAATTAATAAATCACGGGCAATTTGAAGTCGCCAAGGGTGGAGTTGTGACCTTTTAAGGAGGGAAAATAGTTTAGCGCAATTTCAGAAAAACTACAACACCTGTTGAAAAAAAATCAATGGCAAAATTGTAGGTAATCAAAAGATCTTCAACTTTTGTATTTACATTTTTACATAACTTAAATAATATCTACGAAACATCAAAATATCTGACTTTTTGAAAACTTTTTATATCCCAAACAAGGATATCTATTGTTTTGATAGAAAGTATTTATTTTTACACTTACACTTTCTACTACTACTACTTACTGTATTTTACTTTCTATTGATATTATATCGAAAAAGTAACCTTATTTACAATCGAAAAATCTCCCGTCAAAAAAGTATGGCTTGCTTGAAAGAACAGGCGTTGGCCTACGTTACCACCGACTTACTGTGGCCACTATTCCTACACGAACAAAGAAATTTGGTGACTCATTTCTTTGTCGTACTATTCGTAAATGGGATTCTTTACCCGCGCAAGTGTTCCCTCCTTCCTATAATCTGGGGTCCTTTAAGAGAGGCGTGAAGTAGCATTTTTGCAGGCCGGCAAGGTGAGGATGATTGGTGTAGCAGTTTATAACTGCTGTATCAGCTATCTTCGCGTTTGGACTTTATTACCACTTAACATCAGGTGTGGTAGAGTCATTTGCCTACCTCTATATAAAAAAAAATTAATCGAAAAATGAAATGGGCCTGCTAGCTTACAAATTGTGTCCAACGTCGGGCAACTGAACTAGAATGCCCAATTCATTTACTACTGATCTACAAGTTTTGTATTTGCACTTTTTATGTTAAAAGAGTGGCAAACAAGCTTATGGGATGCCTGATGGTAAGCGGCCATCATTGCGATACAAACAATATCACTAACGCCGTTGCCTCCCCTACCCCATGGAGCGCTGTAACCTTACTCACCGACAGGAAAACAACACTACCAAATGTTGAGTTATTTTATTCTCTTCTGTAAGGTAAAGGTTACTGCCCCAGACAGCTGCTCTAATTCTGATGACCTACCTCTCTTTAAATTTTTTCCCATAACCTAACAATAATAAATAGTTTTCCCGAAGATCGTGATAAACCGTGTTCCGATTCCCCCCTTTAAAGATCACCCCCACCCTTCGCGACCTCAAACTGACCGTAATTAATATTTCATATAGGTGTCATTCTGCTCCGATATTTTTGTCTTTGTTTTTTTGCTCAAAAATTATTAGCACTTGTCTATAAATCTTCCTGCATCTTTCTAAATCATGGACTATGTGGCAAACATGGTCATGAGATCTCGTTGTGGTGGAAAAAAGCTTAAAGTCAGCCTAAAGAAAATGGATTTCAAGTCAAAAACAAGATTGAATAAAAATATACTTTAACTAGTGGCCCGCCCTCGCTTCGCTTCGGTGTAGAGCTGTAGTGTAAACTATACTTTTTGTTCTCAGGCTTGTGCTATAAAGAATGACTTTATTTATATAATTACACGTGTTATTGTGAGTCAACCATAAAAGATAGACATATGCTGTTGCGGGATATTTTTTAGACAATTTTATCCTTACACGCCTGAATAGCTCGCAGATTGCAGAATTTTTTCAGACTTAAATGACATTTATCGTTATATTTTGGACAATTCACACAATATCTTTATAAATTATAGCCTATGTGTTATTCTGATCTATAAGCTACATTACTGTAAAGTTTCATTAAAATCCGTTTAGTAGTTTTTGCGTGAAAGAGGAACAAACATCCATCCATACAAACAAACTTTCGCCTTTATAATATTATTATTTATTATTTATACTTTAATACAAAACGCCCGTCGACTGCTTCGACTTTTTGTTGAACTTGTTTTTGATTTTTACCCTGCTGCGCAAT